CTTCAGATTTTCCATTTGGATAAGTTCTAAAGAGAGAAGACACATTTGAGAGGCAAAAGGTTGATAGGTTAACAAAATAATAGTTAAACAGAGGCTAATAGGACTGTAATGTTAGAAGGCTGGACACAACAGGATTTGAGGCAGATGAATTGTATGGTCAGTGTGGTTGTTGGAGGTGTTAGGTAGTGTGCTACAGTTACATAATTTATCATGAATGTCATCATTGTGGTATATATATGTGTGTGTACATATATATATACATATGGATGTGCTTGTATATGCACATGCATATACATGTGCCTACAAGAGCCCTGAAAAAGTTTTCGAGTGCAGGTTTTCATTAACTTGGAAATACAGGTTGTCCTTGAAGAATGGAGATGCAGAGCTTTATTGATTGCTTCTGTGAAAGGAAACAGGGACGCTTTTCTCTATACATAATCACAAAGTAACATGCAGACAAGTTTCAGTGACTGAATAGCTGCTGAGAAGGCAGCATGTCTAAGCTTGTAAGAGAATGAACTTCACTGGAGAGAATGTAGCCGGATTTGTATCTGCAGCGAGTCACTTCAGAAGCTTGTCCTGGCTTGATTGAAAATTCTCCCTCCCCGTTAGGTGGGCGGAGGGTTTTCTTTGCTATTCAGTTTCTGTTTTCACCCAACTCATGCTGCTTCCTCACCAGCTGAACCCTGATGAGGTCCTGTAAAGGGAAGAAGTTCTAAGCAATAGTATGTAAAAAATAAAAGGCTAGAGAGGAGATGCTGTTACTACCATAATGAGAAAACTTATGGCAATCTTACTGTCAAAGTCTATTTTATTGTTGTTTATAAAATTAAATCAGATTTTATGATCAGATCAGAAACCAGTATTGTGTAGAGGAGAAAAAAAATTCCCCCTGTGTTTATCTTATGGCTTTTTAAAATCTCTATGTATATCAAAACACTGCCATAAGTTGGGGCTAGTCAGGAAGTTTATCTTTAAATTTACAATATATTTATGTTGCATTTAAAAGGTGAAAAACTTATCTCAAATGTTGTTTAGCATAAATAGATGCTAAATATGAATTTGAAGCCAAAAAAAGTCACCTACATATTTTATCACCAATCAAATTTTTAATACAAGTTACATACTTGAGCAGCTTCATTCATCCAGCTGAAGTCATTTCAGGTGACCTTTCCCTCAGCAGCTTCTGTCTGAACAGAATACTGTTCTGCTGTTAATTGTTTTGGACATAGTGTGTGAAAAATCTTAAGGGAGTTGAATTTTGTTGTTCAGGGTTCACAGTACATAATTTTTCTTGCATGTTTACTGCTGGCTTGTCAGAGTATATGAAAGAATAAATTTCTCCCACAGATCAACTAATCATGAAAATAGTGTTGAGGTGTTTGTTTGATTGACATAGTGAAGCTGTTAATTTAGAGAATATCAAGATCAAATGGAAGCTACTGCAATTAGGAAGTGATTTTGTTCTCAGTTGAAATTTTTAATGCTGCATTTTTGATTTTTGGGTGGTTTTTTTGCTGTCTCATGGTTGTATTAGGGAATTTCTATGATTTGTTACATTTAAATACTTAATTTTCAACACAATTTCAGTACAAATTTTAGTTTTTTATAATAGCTATTAATAAATTGATTGGAGAGAGTCACAGTATGTAAAAAGTTTCTGTACTCTAAAGGGCTTTGGGGAACAAAGGATTTGATCATTCTGAGGTTTTGGTTGTTCACCTTTTTTTGTTTTGGGTTTTTTTCCTTTTTTTTGTTGTTTTTGATTTTTTGGGTTTTTTTTGTTTGTTTTGGGTGTTTTTTTGTTTTTGTTTTTACAACTTCAGTTCAAAATATTGTGGTAGTAGGCTAAAATCTTCTTGCTCATTTCTCTGTGAATGGCTCCTTTTTGACATGCTTGGAGGTTCCTTATCAATGTGTGATGCTGTTCCAAGGTTTATATGTATGAAATTGTGTTCAATATATTATTTATAATAAGACCTTCTGTGATACCATGGTGTGGTGCAAATGTTAGAGTTGATGCTTTCATATCCGTAGTTCTTGAATGTTAATGGTTTGTTTTTTCTTGAAAGCCTTGTTTTTCACTTTTGTTCTTTCTATTGCTTTCTCTTTTTAAAATCTACATTCAAGCTTAAGATACTGAGAGATGATACACAGATTTCTCGTGTCCCTAAAATTGCAGACATAGGTATGGTGGTGAAGCTTGTTTAGTAAGAAAATCTGTGGATACCCCCTGAAGTCCCTAAAGAAATCCAGCCATGACGCAGTAATGGCAGTTTTCTTCCTTGGATGAGTTGAGCAATTTTCTCATACCTTCAATACTTGTGACCCAATGCTGAGGCTGCTGTTTTTTATTTTTTCATAAGCATGATCTACTCACTCATGTGCAACTGCTAAGGAGTAGTTGGCTCCAGGTTTTGGCCTTAAGTTTCACCTGCGCACTCAGGTGTCTGTAGCCTGATATTGACTTATTTCCTTATTTAAGATTGCAGGAAACAAGAAAGCATAAGCCTCGCATTAAAAACAGTGCTGAGCTTATAATGCAGCTCTTTGGTCTTGCTGAAGAGAAGTAGGGTAGAGGCCATTAGCCTAGCCCTTGGGGATGCTTGTGAGCTGTTCATTCCAGTTGCCCCACTGACATATAGAACTGCACCCAACAGGCTGTGCAGGGAAGCAATTTAGTTCTCTGTCCTGGAAGGGAGATTGCTTTACCTGAAGTTTTGGCAGTATTTTTTGAGGATTAGAAAATACTGGAGAAGGAGGGCAATTGATTCTAATTTATGTTAACAGTAGCAAAAAAAATCCAATAAGCATACCTACTTCCTTGGATTAGCCATACATGCTACCTTGGATTTATATCTCTTTTAGCTCAAAAGCTTTTATTCCTACCACTATTTATTAAGAATATGAAAGTAATCAGTGTTACAGAAACTAAAAGTAATGCGCATCTGTCTCAGATTGTTTTGTTCTGCAGCCACTTGACAAAAGACAGATTCAAATGTATGCTGGAGCTAGTGCTTCTGTGAGCCAAGCAGGAAAATGAGGATTGTAATTTTCCCCAAATTTGAGAAACATCTTTTAGATCCAGTATGTTTCAATGGCCACAGTACACCATTCCCTTCCTGACAACTAGCACTGATCATGCTATTTTGTGTGGCCAAAAGATGTGTTTGGACAATGGGATTCATAAACAAGCCATCCATGGCAGTTGCATCAGGGATGTAAATTTTTGGTTGGTTTTGCTGTTTTGTTTTGTCTTTTTTGTTTTTTAGATTGATGAACCCTTATGCTTTGTTATAAATAAGGGGAGTCTAGTGCAAAGGGAAGGGCTGGTGAACACATTAAGGTTCATGCTTTTAACAAAATGGGAAAAGATCCTGTTTTTCTTCCCTTGGCTGTTACAGCTCTCTCAGCAGTCTGATTGCCTTCCCATGTGACACTTTCACACTGCATTTCTAGGTCAATGGTGACACAACTAGCATGCTTGTGCCCAAATTGATCATCTCAGTCTGCTGTACTCCACATGGCTTTCACATCTATCTTTGCCATAGTCTGTGTTTGGATTTCAGAAGAGCCTGTCAGCTTTGCATTTCCTCAGGTCTTAAGAAACAGGCACGGCTCAGCAGGCGCATGTTAACTTCTCATACGTCTTCTCGCTCATACGAGTGAGCTTTGCAAATGGATCAGTGACGTGGGAAAAGTCGGTATAAAATCAGTGTCAGTAAGGGAGGTGACATGTTTGCTAAGATTATGAAAATTTGGTCAGATTAATTCTTCCATAGAACTGCCAGTGTGGGACAGTAGTGTGCACCTCCTGGTGGGTGTTCTTTTAGTCTTTCTCCTTCATGTGGATGAAAAAAAACCAGCACAATTGGGTTCATGAGCATCATTTTTTCTTTAATTGATACAGTTATAACCAAAAGTGGTTCTCTGTTATAACTGAAGAGAGTCAGAGACAAGTGGAGAGTGTCTACTGCAAGGGGTAGTGCTGGTGAACAGCCTGTCTCTTCTGTTCCTCCTTTTTGTAGCAGTCTCTTGTGCATGAGCACTGCTTCTCAGGGCATGACCACTTGGTCAGTTGACAATTGACAATTCTTTGGTCAATGGACAGTTCCTTGGTGTTGTGTCCATGCCGCTGCCCGACGAGTGTCACTGCTCTGTGGGGACACTGCAAGGCCCCTGCTCCCAGCCTGCTGGCACTCTTGAGTGTGGCAGGAGGTGATGTGAGAGGCTGGGCACTTCTGCTTGCGCAGCTTTCGGAAGCGTGGAAGGGTATCACTGCAGATCTCCTTGCTGGGGGCTGGGGCAGGCCTGGGACTATAATTCCAGGTGCTTAAAACCTGGGATTTTCTCAGCCAAGCTAAAACCATGTATGGAGGGCAGCAAAGTTCTGATGAGGTGGGTAAGAGGAGAGGGGTGAAGGGCAGAGCTGGGAAAGACAGAAAAATTGCTGGCAGAGTTGGATTTGATGCTAAGCTTGGCAATAGCAGAGAGATGTGCTGTTGCACATCTCAGCTGTGTAATTTTCTGTTTTTCCTAAGACAGCTAGTTTTAAACAATGAATAATTTCTGAATTTAATTTTCTTGCACTTAGTTTCTCCTATGACTGCAAGGCTCCATAGATGATGATGATGATATTTTAAAAATTCTGTCAGTTTGCGAGTAAGAAAATATTTCTAATACAGCTCTCTTATGGCTAATGAAATAGCAGCTTACGTGTGAGCTGGTATTGATGGCAGATTCAGTAATGACATGTGATTCAATTACTTTACTAGAGAGAGAAGCACTTAGACACAAATGTAAGATATTTCTGAAGCCAGGCGTCTGCTGGAGGTGATTGAAAATACACTATTTCTGCACATTTCTTCACATAATTACTGTGGAAAATATTGTGGCACTGTAGTTAAAAGCAGAGAGTTTTTAATGCTAAGAGCTGTAAAGGGAAGAGAATTCCCAAAGAGAAATGCTATTCTATAATCCCATGCTAATCTCCCCAACAGAAAGCAGAAGAAGAAGAGCTTGTCCTCACACCTGATGGCACCAGGGAATTCCTGACATTTGAAGTTCCACTGAATGACTCTGGATCAGCTGGACTTGGTGTGAGTGTCAAAGGTAACCGGTCAAAAGAAAACCACGCCGATTTAGGAATCTTCGTCAAGTCCATTATTAATGGTGGAGCAGCATCTAAGGTAAGAGGGAACATCTGTGTACTTTGGTCACCCTCAGTTTTTCGAGGCTGTTTTGAAAATGACCATAGATCCAAGAAGAGTGAGATTGCTCTATAACTAGCTTTATCCAGTTATACCATCAGAGGTAACATTCAGATTTCTACTCACATGTTTGCACATCCCAAGATCTAAACAGCCCTAACAGATTCTCGGGAAGGAGTGAGTTGTCTCTGGTACAGTTCAATTAGTATGGTGTTTGAGCAAACAGGTTATGATAATAGCTTGCAGTGCAAATCTATAATTGGAATAGACATTTTCTACAGTGGCTGCAATGGAAGTTATTATTCCAGTGTTCATTTGCCCATAAACTCTTAGGACTAAGCATAGATGGTTGATTATTTTTCTTTTGTTTTTCTTTTTTCCCCTCTCTTCAGCTTCTTTTGTGTGGATTTCATATAACCACCTATAATTTTTCCTTTTCCAGGATGGCAGGCTTCGAGTGAACGATCAACTCATAGCAGTTAATGGAGAATCATTATTGGGAAAAACAAATCAAGATGCCATGGAAACATTAAGGAGGTCCATGTCCACTGAAGGAAACAAACGGGGAATGATTCAGCTTATTGTGGCGAGGCGAATAAGTAAATGCAATGAGGTAATAAGCTCTTGATGTCGGGACTGGGAGTTTTCACTTCTATGGTATTTGTGTTTACAGGAGATGGCGTGTTTCCTCTGAGAACTGAAAAATAATATTTGAGAATTTAAAGAAAGAATTACAAAATGATCTGACTTCAGTGTTAGGCATGCTAACGTTATTACTGATCAATAAAGTTTTTCTTTTGAGTATTTTTGTCAATGAGAAACAGGAAACACTGAATAAAACTATATTGATTTTGTAATTGGATCCCACTGTTAATGTTATTTTTTTTCTTTGAAGTTTTTTATGTAGGTCGATTAAATCTTTCATTTATAGACTTCATGTTAACTGATTTGTTTCTTTGTCACTTTCAGTTTTTTTTATTAAGCGTAGAGCTCTTATATTTCATTATTGTATTTTATCTAAGTGATTAAATATTTCATGTAAATATTCTTGTTTTTTTAAACTTGTTTTTTTAAACTTGTTACAAATAATTCTGTCATTTTGGATTTTAACTACGTTGTGCCTTGGCCTTAATTGCAGGTGAGTATAAAATACTGAATTTGGGGTGAAGTGGTGATTCTTTTTCTGGTTATTTGCAACTTCTGTCTTCTCCAGAGAAATGTTAATGTGTTGATGTTTTGAAACTTATTTATGATTTCTAATAGGTTAACTTTTATTTGATGTAAATAATGCTATATAGTGAGAATATGTGGACATATGATACTGAGAAGTACTGCAGATGCTGTGGAGGACTGAATTAGACTTCAAAATGATTTTAACAAGTTGGACAAATGCACTGAGTTAAATAGGGTACGGTTGAATGGTGGGTCAGAGAAGCATCTGTTCTTAAGACATCTAAAAGTCAATTTTTTCGTTCTTGTTAAGACCAGTAAGATCCTACTGAGAACATTGTTTCCTGATCATCATGCTTTGAAAATGACATACACAAGTTGGTTGGATATTGCTGCTTCTGCCCAGGGGAAAAAAATAGTTTGTTTTTTAATGCATAAAACTAATCCTTAAAAATTCCAGTCCTCAATGTATTATAAAATAATTTTTGAAAAAGACACTAGCCTCTCTAAAGCTATTAAGCTTCTCTTGATTAACTGCTTATACACAGCTTTTATAAATGTATATATTTTTACATATACACACTGCTAGAAAGCCAGCTTGGATGCACATGGTTTCTTATTTGGTGTTGAAGGAATTCTGATCTTTTTGTATGAGGTGATGTCCTGTTCTAGCCCTAATAGAACTTGAACTTCAGACTGTCATTTACACACTGTTCCTTATTTCTACCCAATTTCAGATGCATTTTGTATGTAACTACATAAAAAGGGTGAAACATTTTAGACTATTTCTGTGTTTAGTATAATTTTTTCTAAAGTGATGTAAATGATGTTTCCTTTTCTCCTGGTGAAAGTCTTCTAGATTGAATTTATCAAGACAGTGTTTGTAAACATGATGGAGAAAATCCAGCAGTGATGGAGCAAAGACATTTCTCCTTAAATCTGATAGAATTTTTACTCCCTCAAGTTAAGAACAGTTTGGTGCCCTATATCTGCTTGACATTTAGTATGATTTATTTGCAAAAACCGTGTGCCAAAAACAGCACAGCAAAGTCTGCAGTATATGTGCTCCAAGATGAAAGAACTGATTTTGGAACCAGATTTAGATACACTGAAATGTATCTGCACAAGGGCAGGATGGGGAGCTCTGTCTGGGCCTCCTTTACAGTTTTTTGTGCATTTTCCCAACTCCTTCAGAAGCTGGTGAGACGAGCCATAATGACTGGGGAAAGCGATGATATGCCATTATTGCTCTAGTGATCATCTTTACAAAATAACTTTTGTAAGTAATTTTTCTCAGGAATTGTTGCTTTCATCACACTCATCCAAAGGAAATACGATGTCAATGTTGTTTGCAGATTTTAATGTGATAAAAGGACAACCTCCATGAACATAAAGCTGTTTACCTGCTGATCAGGCAGTATTCAAGAAGCCACTTTTCTGAAAGCCTTGCAATGCCCAGACTTGAATGAGAGGAAAAGAGGAAATTTTTTTCTTGGTATTTTGCAATTAAACCCTAGTTCCTCCTTCAAGAATGTGACAGATTTAAACTTTAGATATTATTATGCTGATCTAATACTGATAAGCTGTGATAATGTTATTCCCATATCTTGCATGAACCCCATATATGAGCATGGTATTCAGTCAGCTTAGTCCCTGAGTAATGGCTGTGTGGACTGAGACCTGGAGAGCAGCCCTGTGCAAGTGAGGATCACAGTGACATTCACCTTCCCATGGAGCAGCAGCCACTGGCTGTGTCTGGCAACCTTGGCCATATTATGCTTAATTCAGCAACACAGATTACTTAGACATGCTGATACACAAGTTGTCCCCTTAGAACATTCCTGTAACTGCCACCAGTAAAGATTTTTAGTATTAGAACACAAAAGAAATTAGATTTGATTGGTGGCAAATTCAGAAGTTCGCAGATTAAAAGCAAAAGCATAAAAAGAGTAAACCCTATCTTAATAAATCCCACCTTTTTCCACCATAGAACAGAATCATTTAGATTGGAAAAGACCTTTGAGATCATTGACTCCATCTATTAACCCAGCACTGTCAAGTCCACCACTATACTATGTCCTTAAGTACCACATCAACACATCTTTTGAAGACCTGCAGGATCAACCACAGGACTCAACCACTTCCCTGGGCATCTTGTTCCAAAGCTTTACCACACTTTCCATGAAGAAATTTTTCCTAATATCCAGTCTAAACATCCCCTGGCACAACTTGAGGCCATTTCCTCTTGTCCTATCACTTGTTACTTGGGAGAAGAGACCAACCCCCACCTGTCTACAACCTCCTTTCAGGCAGTTGTAGAGAGTGATAAGGTCTCTCCTCAGACTCCTCTTTTCTCCAGGCTAAAAAACTCCAGCTCCTCAGAAATGGGGATTTACTGGTCTTATTAAAGCCAAAAGAAATGTTTACCTTTTGAGAAAGTCTTTCCTTGGTGTTTTCTATGCTTTTCTCTTTTTGTTCTCCAAAGGAGCCACCATAAAATAACAGCAGCAACAAAAAAGGTGCTGTTCAGCTGATTTCTTTCCTTTGTTGGTTCGGCATTGTATGTGCACACTTTATGGACAAAAATAGAGCTTTTCCTCCTGTTAGTCTGGCTGAACCATAGCTAAGTGGAATGGCCTCAGTTATATTCCCTTGTGTGCTTCACCACCAGGAGTTTTCATTCTGCTCTATCCCAGTGCATGGTCAGTCCTATGCCACGGTTCAAGGTCGGTCTTAGCTCCCTGGGATTCCCAGCCCATGCCATGGAGCAGCTGCAAGTGTCTTCAAAGGGAAATCTGTACACGGGGTGATAATACCAATGCAAAAGGCAATTATGCTGAACATCTGGATGATAAAAACAGTTGTTATCTAAATTATTAAAAAAATAACAGCAAAAAGAACAAAAAGAAAAAACAAGCCTTCTTTTTCTTGGCTTAAAGTCCAGTAGTTGTTTTGCATTTGCAAAGTGAAACTGGCTTCTTTTGCGATAGCTAGGCTCTACTATCTGCTTCTGTCTTCAGCTTAAATGAGTTTGAATTGGATTTTAAGAAAGTTAGTGGTATGGATACATTTCTTTTGTTTTTAGTATTAATTTTCATAATCAGCTCTAAGAATTGCAGGGGAGGGAGAATTTATTTGGTAGCATGGTTCTGCAGATTGTAATTTCTAGTGTTTCAATTGAGACTTCATGCACTTTTTGTATTTTGGCTGCTGTCTAGAAGAGAGGGACAGCTCAACCCGTGTTGTCCTGCATTTAGAGAGGCAGGCAGAGTTGCTTCTGATCTGCTGCAGAGGAGCTGTCTCTCTGTCAGAAAGCTTTCTTTGGCTTCTTGAACATGAAACTGTTTCAAAACTCTGTGAATTGACCCCTTATACTCCATGCGAGCATTTTTCTCAAAACAGCTTCACAGGTTCTCATGTTGTAGACTAAACCTCCAGAGCAATTATAGTAACAATAAAATGTACATTAACACCCTAATAGTATTATCTTGTCTTCAGAGAGGCAGGGAGGAGATCATTTATATCAAAAGCACTTCCATAACTGTAAACTCAAAAGAGACCACAAACTTCCCAGAAGGTAAAGAGAGTTTTATGCTGTTGTGGTTTTGCTGAACTGAAGATTTGCCTGTAGAAAGAATTTTCATTGACTCACCGGGAGATAGCATAATCCATCCAGGTTTTCAAGTGAATTATCTTGTAGTAAATATTGATATAAGCATGGAGTGAGTGGTAGTTATGAATGAACTCCAAGCCAAAGCTGTGTATCTGAGTTTTTCTCCTGTTTGCAATGTGTCTGTACAGAGTATGGCAATATACTTAATTCTGTAAGCTGCACTACTGCAGACCTTCCAAAACTTTGTTTCATATCTCAGCCACTCCAGGCAAAATCACACAGTTGTTAGATTAGCGTAACAAAAACATTTAATTTGGTGTTTGGCTAAATCTAAGATTCCCTTGCCTCCCTTTCAAAAAAGTTAAATATGCTGTTCTATTCTGTGTTTTCAGCTTTCAGCCTTGCATGTTGACTTAACAACTTTCCTACATAAGCACGGAGAGACTCCTGAAGATACATTTTCAAAGCTGGTCAAACAGTGGCAAAAAAAAGAAGAAAATGATAATATTGACAATATTCATATACAGGCAGTAATTTAACATCTCAGTTTTCAGAAGAGGTGGCCATCAGGTTTTAGATCTTTTACTCAGGGTTTACATTTTTTAAATTGCTCAGATTTAAAGAGAAACACTTGAGCTGCTTGTTCTGTGTTCTGTTAATTAGTGATATTATTATGATTAGCCTGTATGGGCAAACAGCTGCCGGCGGTACCGCCAGAATGCGTTCACAGCACTCAGGCACGACTGTCAGGCAGATCCGTGCAGCTGGTGGCTATGTGCTGATTCAAGAAAATAAAGGTAATTGTTACTTTTGGAATCCTGTGCTTTTCA